AACGAAGCCGTCAGGACTTCTGCATCCGATTTCTCCCCCGTCTATGCCGTTCCAGCAGATCGGAATGGATTTACTTGGCCTTTTCCCTTCGTTAACGTCGGGAAACCGCTGGATTATCGTCGCCACCGATTATCTCACACGGTACGCCGAGACGAAAGCCCTTCCAGCAGGCACGGCTGTTGAAGTCGCCAAGTTTTTCATCCAGTCCATTGTCCTCCGGCACGGCGCCCCTGAAGTCCTCATCACAGACCGTGGATCTTCGTTCATGGCCCAGCTGACGCAAGAGATCCTTCGTCTCAGTGGCACCGGCCATCGTCGAACCACTGCATACCACCCGCAGACCAACGGGCTGACCGAGCGACTCAACAAGAGAATCGCCAATATGATCTCTGTGTACGTCGACGTCGAGCACAAGACGTGGGACGAGGTGTTGCCCTACGTCACGTTCGCCTACAATACGGCGGTTCAGGAGACCATTGGATTCACCCCTTTCTAGCTGGTACATCGTCGGAAGGTAACGACCATGCTGGACGCAATGCTGCCCCATGAGCCATCTGACAATGAAAGCGACGACGCCCAGGCGGTTGCTCAACGCGCCGAAGAAGTCCGCCAGCTCGCCCGACTCATGATTAAAGACCAGCAACGCGTCGACGCGGGCCGTACAAACTTCGTCGCAACGACGTTCACTTCCAGTCCGGAGACAGGGTGTGGGTGTGGACGCCCATCCGTCGCCGTGGCCTCAGTGAGAAACTGCTGAAACGGTACTTTGGACCCTACAAGGTACTTCGTCGCCTCGGCGAGCTGAACTACGAGGTGATGCCCGACGGAACAAGAACATCATCACGCCGCCCACCACGACCTGAAGTCGTCCACGTCGTGCTCCTGAAGCCGTACTACGCTCGATAGAACTGTGGATCTTATGTGTTCCAAATGACTCTTTAGTTTGCCATTCTTTTTATGTGCTTTGTTTTGTTTTGTGTTGCATCGGGGCGATGCACTTTTTAAGGGGGGAGTAATGCCGCGCGCCAAGTAGGCAGCGCGGCCGTAGCGTAACGGTTATCGCGCTTGCCTCCCACGTGAAGGGCCAGGGTTCGATTCCTGGCCGCGGCTACGCATTTTTGTTTACACTGTAATGTGATGTTCTGGTGAATTCGAGAACCGTCTAGCTGATTCGAGGTTAGAATGCTCTACGCGTCGAACCTTCTACATCGAATGCTCCAGAAGCCAACGCGTGTACAAAAGCGGCTCCGCGTGGAAAGCAGGAGTTAGTTTCGCCCCAGCGTTCGACTCTGTTGTCACGTCGACTTCGACGTCCGCGACGCTCTGTTATTATCTCTTGTACCCTTTTATTATTTTGGGCACAAGTTTGCCCCATTAAACGCTTAGTTTCTTCAGTCTTTATCGCCTCATAAATTGTCATTTGTGACAGTATCATATTCGGCCGTATAAAATCAACCTCCGGCCTCGATAGAGTGACTGAAGGTGTCCCACGTTGTGGCCGGATGTCGTCATTTAAAACGCCTAAATCACCTCCTTACTATATCGCTCCCCGTATTCTCGGATGATACTTCTGTTTGCGAATTTTGGAGCAAATGTGTTGCAGCAATTAGTGTGAAGCACAATCGGGCGCAGAGAGCCTTCAGCTGGCGATGTACACTTCCTTTGACGCTCACGGAGGCGGTCATTCACGCACCGTCCCATTTGGCCAATGTATTCCGCGCCACACTGCAGGGGTATCGAATTAACCTATTCTGTGGGGGCACGGAACGTATGATGCACTATGATCCTACACGCCGTGACGGAGAGCCACTTCCGTTTACCAGATTACACATCAGCCCCAGTTTAAATCTGCATCTAAATGCAACTCTAGTCCCGTACCGGGCTGCCAGGGATCGAACACGGTGCGACACCTTGTGCTTTTATGGAATGCCAATCGTCCTGCCATGTGGAAGGACCCGCGCTGATTCCGCAAGTCTGCTTCCTAGGAGCCGCTGCATGACGGAGCAGAGTATGTCTACAGGGTAACCAGGCCGGCGCAGGCGTTCGAACAGGGTCTCTGGGCGAGACGGCGGGATCGCTATTTCGCATGGGCCGAGGAGATGAGCGATTTTAATCTCCCCACTTTGAGCGACCTCGAATGAGAGATGCAAAAGGGAAGCACAGAAATTACTGATCGCTGTTGGTATGCCCAGCAGATACCAGAGGGGTCAACGTCAGTCAAAGGCCTAAACATTGCAGCCCTTCATTTGTGGGGCCCTCTCTTTTCAAGTTCAGGCCGCCCGGCGCTCCGAGGAAGCAGGGTAAAATGGTTTCGGACGGAGTTTTGAAGGTATAATCACAAGGTTCCCACCCCCAGAACGCACAGCTCTAGAGTCGGGCGCAGTGCCCTGAAGTTCTTTATTAATCGCCCAGTCTACGAATGACAGGTGTATACCTCGCTGAGACCTGGAGCGAGGGAGAACCCGATGCACACTCTTTATTTTTTAATTAATATTCTGCTATTCTGTTCAATCATGGTAGGCAGGAGATAAAGCCAGATCAGTTGGAGGGATCCAGAAAGCAAAATGCGAGAACTGGTCTGGAGCTTACACAAGCCGTTTTTAGTGACAATCTCCTCGACGCACCGGATCATGAAAGGAATGTCTGAGCTATTGTACATATTGTCCCGAGTGACATTAAGAGAGACGGTTAGTGTAGTAGGAAACTAAACGCTTAATACAGGCGAACTGTGCCCGAAAGAAAAAATGCAAAGAGGTAGCGTCGCAGGCGCCGAAGGTCGGCGGAGTAGCGGGGATATCGAACTTACGGAATCGAACCTGGGCCTCCGCGTGAAAGCCGAGCACGGTAACCATTTGGTCACGCACGCGCTCGCGCGTGGCATTACTACCCCCTTTTAAAAGCGCATCGTCTCGATGCAACGTTCCAGGAAACAAAATAGCGCCACAAGCAAAAATGATGACAAACTAGGAGGCTTGTAGACTACAGTCCAATCGAGCGTACTACAAAAACTCAGTTCATAGTCCTCTCGAGCGTAGTAAGGCTTGAGGTGCACGACATGGACGACTTCCAGTCGTAGAGGGCGGCATAATGAAGACCGTGTTCCGTCAGGCATCACCTCATAGTTCAGGTACTCGGTCGACGAAGCACCTTGTAAGGTGCGAAGTATCGTTTTAATAGCTTCTCGTTGAGACCGCGGCGGCGAATCGGTATCCACACCCATACCCTGTCTCCGGGTTGGAAGTGGACGTCGCGGCGACGAAGGTTGCACCGGCGAGCGTCAACACTTTGTTGGTCCTGAAGTCGGACCAAAAAAATGTTGGTCCTACTTCAGAATTAACAAGTCCTGTAGCTGAGCCTCAGAATTCCACAGGAAGATTAATTGAATAGTTGCTGAGCCGCAGCATTCCGCAGGAGATTAAGGATTGGTGCCTCCCGTAGGATGTTGCGAAGCAAAGAGTCATATATCTGGGGAACACCGCAGCTGTTAAAGGGGTACTCCGGCGATTTTTTGAGCTACCTCAACTACGTATATTTTCTGACTCCCCGGCCTTTCCCTTTCCGGTATGCTATTTATTATCATGAAATTCGTAATAGTTATTGCGAAATCGGCAAATGAAAATGATGCAAAAACCAACATTCAAATATACCCGCCCTTTTTATTGCCGTGACGTCAGTGGCGGGCAGGCTTGCCAGTCGAGCGAGCAGTCTAAACAATAGAATGTGACAATCATTTGTTCCGTGCTGGAGCGCGAGTCCTGGAGCGAGCTTCCAAAGCATTCCTTTGACACCATGAAACTGCTTCGAATCAGCTGGGAACGAATTCCACAGTCCAAAGAGTGAACCCCTGCACTCCTACTGACGTCACTTTTTTGTTGTTGCCAGTAGAGACTTTCAGTTTAAAAAATACGGTGAGGACCAAAATTGTAAATTCAATAACTTCGTGAAAAAAAATATTAACCTAATATTTGGGATACAATTCTAGCGATGTTGTTTGGCGAGTTTAGCAAAATTTCAAGCAAATCGGGGACCATGAAGAAATCATCGGAGTACCCCTTTAACTGTAACTCCTCAGACAACTCCCCGTGCAAACTCTGCATGATTGGATGACCGGACGACCAATTGTTTGAATGAAATCCTGAAGCGTGGAACACTGAAGGATGTACGACATTTTCGACGAACACTCAGACCCAAACTTCCAAAGTCCATAGGCGAAAGTAAAGTTGGGTCTCCATCGAAATTAAAATGGCAGCACGAAGGAACACTGTGGGGTTAAACGATGCAGGTGGGTACGGGGTGCAGAGCCCGGACTTTAGGCAGCAAGTGTGAATTACCACTAACTTGTTCAACTATTCATTTTCATAATGAAATTGTCCTACTGAATTTTTACCGTCGCATAAACGAGGCTGGGGCACAGATTGGGCAGTACTGCCGCTTCAGTGTTCGTATGAGTCTCGTGTTCAATCAGACAGGGGGCCAGTTGAATGCCGACGCAACGGTCGCTTCCAATCCCTGCCCCGCGTACCCTTTTATACGTGACACAGAAAATTCAGCACTACGGCCCTTTTAAGTGGGATGCTCGTTCGGTTTTCAGCCTCAGCATTCAAATGAAGTGGAGAGGAATTAGCTACAAGCTGTCGCAGTTTGTTGCTATATTCACTAAAACGTTTCCTATATTGACGATCTAAAGAGAATCCAAACTTATGTAGATATATTTTTTTTTTTTTCAAAAGACTGGTAACAATTTTATATACCCACAGAAGGAATTCGAGCTTATTTAAAAACGTAACGAACTGCTTGATCTCTCTCCGACCGCCAGCCACCGCATAAGCACGGATATATCTCTGAGTATCCTATTCGGGACGTCCGCAGGCCTCTAGCCACTCGATGATCAAGATCGAGCAGCCGTAAGTGGAAACGAGACGCTCTCCGCCCGCATTGCGCGTCGCTCTATTCGGAGCCTCATTGAGCCGTTCTGTGGACGCTCTTCTCCGTGTCTTTAGAATGGGGCACCTGCATGCCTTGGAGACCCTTGACCTGTCCTTCAACGAGCTGACGGTGATCCGAGAGTCCTGGTTCCGCAACTCCCTCAACGGGCTCCGCTCGCTGCTCTTGCGCGGCAACCGGATTGGACTGGTCGAGTCTCGGGCCTTCGCCGGTCTGCTCAGGCTCTACCAGCTGGACCTGGCGCAGAACAACCTCAAGCACCTCAAGAGATCCATGTTCCCCAGCGGCCTCTTCTTTCTCGACCTCAGGTGCGAATGAGGTGGCTTGCTTTTGGAGTGTGCGAGCCAAGCCGTCGTATCATACTGTTTGTCATTCCTACCTCACCAAGGCTAGCGTAGCGCCCTACCCACTGAGATAACCAGGAAAGAAACATCAATAGAGCAAACGGATGTTAACAGCTGCCACCGGCCTTAATCGTAACCACCGCAAGGCTGAGATAATATGTTTAATGATTAGATAACACGGCCCATGTGGAGAAGATTCAGAAAAAACAAAGTGGCCTAAATAATTATTTTATTCACTTCATTTTTTTATTTATATCGATATAATGTAGTGGCTTATGAGGGTGTAATTTCAGAAATTTTATAACGTTGTCTGTATCTTTGAATCTTGTCCTGCACCTGTCTCTAATATCAATATTATAGGTGACGCGCCAGACAAACGATACATTTCAGATTTTTATTTTTATACTTGGCTTTAACTTATTCTTTGTGTACTTTTATTAGCTACTTACTAATATTGAGTACATACATTACGACCTGCAGAAAACCTGTAGCACGATGCGCTTACGTATGCAAAGTTGAGGTTACCACCATTTTGCAAAATATTTAAAATAGTTTTTCTATTCTCTTCTCCTTATAAACTTGAAGTTAAATATAGTCAATATATGTACGTTATTTTAGCTTCCGTAAGATATCAACATTATTATATATTATTTTAAATTATCCACAAGAAAGAGTAAAAAAATATACCAATTTTCATACATAGGGATGGTTTCGCGTTTTGTAACAAATGTTTTACATAATGAGGGTTACAATCTCGCAAAACGTAATAAGACTTATCTTCGTTATGGTTTGAAAAAAAAATTACAGTAGCTTAAGGAGCGAGACAGGCAAACGGAGTCAAACATGGAACCCCCGACTGCCCAAAGAATTCGTACGCCTGAAACTGACTCCTCTAGCAAATCTATCAGAAAAAAAAAATATGCCATAAACGTCGTTGATTTTATTGTCATTCAATTCTGATCTTCCGAAGAACTTGGTATCATTGATCCTAAATATGTTACTTGCCTACCTCTGCTTGACCGGGATAAATCAAAAGGCTCAAGGGCACGAACCAAGTCAGGAAACTATTATGCCGTACAAACCATCTGACCGTAAGCGGGGCACCTCGATCTTTAGCATATAATGATTTACCTTCAATAGGAAACGTTCAACCGTCGGCTTCGGTCTCTGACTATAACATCAGAAAATATTTTTAATAATATTTTCTGCATGGGGGGCAGAGATAAAGGCACAAGTGCCTGACGGAGCCTCTGCCCCCCCCCCACACACACACACACTTTATCCGTGGCAGGTTAGGTAGGATTGACATATGCACCAGCAAAGCAACAAAGCAGAACTAATATACACACTCTGGAAGCCGCAATCGCAGGATCGCTTCAAGCCAGAAAAAACGCACCGTCAATGACAACAAAGCAACAAGGCAACAAAGCAGAGTGATTATATTATACACGGGCAATCAACTAACTTAGTACAACAACAAGCGTCACACATTACATTATTAACGTCATTAAATGTACCTTCAGATAGGTCACTAGTATAAAACGTTGACCAAGAAAAAAAGATGGTCTTAATTCATACACATAAAAAGCATCATGAATAAAAAAATTTCAGAAACCAGGAGAAAAATAAAACTTCACAATTAAAATTGTAATAGAACCACCAACCAGAACCGTCCTCCATTTACTTTTGAATTTATAGAAAGTTGTTCTATAGTCTATGTTCATATCTGTATTGTTTAAAATTTAATTATTTGAAAATTTAAAGTTTGTCGACCATAATTTGTTCTTATGGTGGGCATTTTTATTTTTGGATCTCAAAGCGTATATGCACTCACGCTATTTGTTGGGGTGGTGCGGTGGTGCACAGTTTGTTTTTATGCATCTACTGTAACAGCTTAAAGCAGTAAACTTGGTCTGCTTTGAGCATATTATATTATACAAAGAGTGGTTGTGGGCTGAAGTTTCTTTTATCACCTCTATAGTTTTCACGTATACGCAGTATTTTCTTTTGTAATATAATTATTTTATTTAGTTCGAAGCTTTTGTTCCCCAGACCAAGATAACGTAACTAGTAAAATAAGGAACAGTATAACGTTAGTTTTAACCAGTATAACGTTTGTTTTAAAATAAAATGTACAACCTTTCGATGAAAACCAACTATCAGACGACGAAAGAACTTCCCTTTGCTCGGCCCCAGCTGATGAAAACATAAGCATTTACTTTTTCATGACATATGATGCTGGCCTCAATAATTATTCGAAACCATTCACTGGGGTTAAAGGAGAACGACCAGCAGAATATACCAGTAATATAAATCAACCGAGATGTTGCTCTTTTTTTTATTAGGGGGAATGGTGGAATATAATTATTCTAGAGAATAAAATGTTAGTTATTTAAATGATACAGAGGCTCATACATGCAGGCCATAGCAGATGTGGTCCCTTAAATATCATTAGCTTATACTCTCATGACACACGACGATCGCGAACATTATGTCAATCACGAGTAATCGCCTCTAGATTGCTGCCAAGTGGCCTACAAAAGGGTAACAAACTCATTTGACAGATGTTTTATTCGTTAATTGACCGAGGGAAAAAAAGAATACTTGGAAACATTATAGCTAAGTTTTAACGGTTTCAATGTTATGCTATGATTTAATCTCCGACAAGCAGTTAATAAAACGTTAATGAATATTTTATTCATACAATTAAAATTATATTTAGAAAATAATATAAATATCTTAGTCTATTTTCGCTCTTCCATCTAATGGATGTATTAGATCAGCTTCTAACAGCAGATTCAATACAAAAAAAAAGTTAAACATAAAATCATTACATATGAATTGCGAAGAAAGTTTTCACACATTATTTAGCTTGTTAATTCAGGAAGCTACATGCTGACAGCGCATACAGCTGTAGGCGGATTCTAGAATAGCCCTTATAAGTGCCGTATAAGCTTTTCTTACGCAATCGCCCAATTTAGACGTCCGCCTAGGTGTAAAAAGAGTTCCCCTGGCAGACTTTACAATGCCATTTATATACCGGTTCCAGTTACACTGGCTTATGTTCGCACGAAGGTATGCGTATTTATCTACATAGCTTAAGACATGTGAATTTATAAAATAGCATTTTATAGTATTCTTCTCAGATAGTTTATTTGTACTCAACAATCATCTGTCCACTCAATAATTTTATCCGAAGCTTTTTTCATGTATTTACCTTATCTTGAAGGTAACTCTTTCCGAGTAAGCAATAGAATCATGAGCAAATGGTGTAACTAGCACTCAAATATCTTTAATAATTTTATGAATATATAGCGAAAACCGAAGAGGCCCCATAGTACCGAACCTTGAGGGACTCCCGAAGTTCCTAAAAAAGGACGTAGGAATTTCGTCATTAAAACATACGTATAAGCTTCTATTAGAGAGGTAAGACGCTATGCAGCATACCAAATTATAATGCCTAAACTAGTAGAAACCTTTAAGATTGGTTTTGGGTGAGCTACGGTATTGAATATTATTGACAAGTCAAGAAAAACGAGATATGCTTCACTCCTATTATTGATTATGTTCAAAAGGTCGTGTGCCAGCTCAGTTAGCTGAGTGTTCGTTGATAACTCTCTTGTGAAACAGTGCGGATATTTAAACGGTTATTGTTTTTAATATATTGAATTACATGTGTAAAAAGTATTTAGCATCGGCCTGTGGTTTTCTGGGTTGTCACCACCCCCAGATTTATAAATCGAAATGATTTTCTAAATTTTTATTGATTTGGTAAGATTCCTTAACAAAAAGGCGCATTGAAAATTGTTAAGATATACCAAGCAGTCAACTCTGAGTGACGTTTTGAAAAGTTCCTCATGTTAGAAATTAAGACCAAGGTCCTTTTTAACATATTGAAAATGCCTTTCTCTGAACCTACTATATTCTCAATATGAAAAGTCCCGTACAATACCTGGGTGGTAACCGTCATCCAACGTAAATGATGATTTCAAGAAAGTGTTCAATACATCTAACAAAATAGTAAACAATGGTTCTCCATTGGTGACTGGAACATACCGCCAAACCATTTGCGGTGCTGTCACGACCATGCGGCGGTGGCGCGGGTTGCAAAGGGAAGGGGTTCGGATGTCCGCTACAATGGCGTGGTCTCGAAGAACGTGGTGTACAGAGAAAAGAGCACTGGGGCGATCGGGGCAGTAAACACATTTAATGTCAATATAAGTGAAACACACAAAGCAAAAGTACAGAAGCGCTTAAACGAATGGCAAATAGGCATATACTAACTAATGCGGAGATTTTACAAGTAGAGGGCGAGATGCGAACGCACAAATAGGGGAGAGAGGCGGCACCTCACAGTGAAGCAGTCCATCATGACGGGGCTTGTGAGTTTGAGCCAAAGTTCCTCGGAATTGCCTCGTCGTAGTGCGGTGCTCCTGGTGCAGCAAAGGGTGTTGGTAAGATGTCGCACTGGGCAGTCGGGCAGGGAAAGGACTTGCCGGGCTTTCGCACGGAGATTAGCCGCTCGGTGCCCAGACTGATTCTTTCCATGTGCCGTGGTGCCCACTGGGTGACGTCCGTAGTTAGAGGGTCTGGTGGCTGCCGGCTATCAGTTCTTTACTTCGACTTACTTCTTGATCAATACAAAGCTGCACGCGCCGACCATCGAAAAATCAATATAGCAAAAATAAAACCCGCGTCTTTCCCAAAGCGAAGATTGCCCCTCCCCCCCCCCCCCCCCCCCCCCTTCCCGTGCGTCCCGGTTGCGAAGCTGCGCATCGCTCCTAACCATACAAAAAAGGCAACAGACACAACAATCAACCTACTTTACATCTTCAAACCATTCCCAAATTCCGAGAATCGGTTTGAGAGCCAGGGGACCATAAAATTGTCAAAATCGGGTCCCCATCACCCCCGAAAAATTTAGGTTCTTAGTAAGCGCCACAGACTGGGTGGAAATGTATAAC